TTACAGTACATTACTAATAAAAGAATTTATTAATTCTCCTTTTCTAGTCACAGAATCAGTGGGCCCCAGCTCTTAATTAAAATATTCAGCACTTTTTAAGGTTTTCCTTTCATTATTTAGAAATACTTTGCTATAATAAACTTACAAAATTAGGAAAGAAAAGTAATCAAGTACCTACACTTGCATGTGTTATTCCTAGAATATTTTTGACCTAACTGACTTTGGGATGAAAATATTCCCATTTTTTATGACTTTCATGCATTACCAAAATGTTAAAGAGGGCTGAAAAGACAGAAAAATCTTGTATTGCTCTTTGCTCCTTCTTTTTTCTTGAAGTGGGTCTTCCTCCACAGCACTGTCACTGCTAAATGGGAGCAAACTGTTCACTGGTCTGTGAGCACTGAGCAGGGCAGCCCTCTTTGCAGCTGTGAATATCCCTCCATACTCCACAGTAGGCAGTGGGATAAAAATGTCCAAGTAAACACGGAATGGGCACATTCATTTGCCTGGTGCAATGAAACACTGCCAGGGTCTTTAATGTGTGCCTGTTTTACACTATGCCTGCACCAAAAGCCTGTTTGAAAAGGAGGTGAGGACAGAAACTTCATTTACAGGAAGGTATATATACAGATATTTCTTTATGAACACGAACCTACGCCTGAGTTAAATATCACACAGATACACTTTAAGCTTGCTGAACACTTCAGGAAGAAAATAAATGATGATGATGTTCTTGAGGTTACAGGATTAAATTGTAGACACCCATGCATTGAGACAAACATTCCCACTGCTGTTTTACAGTGAGCTTTGTGAAGGTGTGTACCAGAATTGAGAGTAGAAAAATACTGGATTGAATATTTAGGATTTTGGAGATATTTGGTGTATTTCATCGTGACTCTTAGCTCTGCCACACTAAGAAACCAAGTTCATATCAACTGTTCTGGAAAAATAATATGCTTTGTAGATTTTAATATCCCCTAAATGTGTACTTGAAGCTAAAAGAGATTCTTTTTCTAGGGGAAGACAAGTTAAGAGTAGCTGAAAATTTCTGTGTTGCTGACAGTAGACTAAAAAAGTAAGCTGAAGGAAAAAGTCTTTGGGTAGTTTTTTGGTCTTAATTCTTTTGCTAGAAGCTGAACAATATGAACTCTCAGGCTTAGAAAAGCAAAATAAACAAAAAATCTCCAAAACAGTTTCAAATTCTGTTTTAAGTCTTTGTCTTATAGATCACTAGGTTTTCAAATGAGTTTTTTATTGAAAATATCTTAAGCATAAAAAGGTTTTGTTTCCTTTTTCCTTCTGCAGGACCACAGCAGCGGACAGGGCTCATAACACTTTTCTGCACAGAAAAGTTCACTTCGGGGTGCTGGTGCCTCAGGTGGCTGACCTGGGTTGCACTGTGAGTTTCTGGTACACAAATGGCACCTTAAAGGCATCTTGTAACGTGCAGAGTCAGATTTGTTTTACCTTTTTCTTAACTTCCGAGCACCAGCTGCGAGACAAGCACTAACTGCTGGCATTCCTCAGGCGTACCCTGCAAGTCTGTGTGGATCATAATCTGTAGAAAAGCAGTATGTGTTGGGGTTTTCCGTCCTACTCTTGCACAAAAGTGGATCTGGCACCTGGTCTGATGCAGCTTTCTTGACAAAAGCTCTTTGTAACTTCCCAGCTTGAAGAGCTTTTTTTGGTAGAAGCTCAGCTAAGAACTGTCAGGAGAGTGCTGTGATGCTCAGTGCAGACTGGGAGAGCAGCAGGGATATATTAGTGATTAAAATCACGTATCTTAATTTTAAGCCGAGAAAGAAAGTTCTTGAACTTTATTGGAAATCTTTTCCTCCTTATTACCCAAACCATTTGGGATAGCCTATTACCTTAAAAAACCCTCAATTTAGATTGCTGCTAGACCCCTTTCAAGACTTCTAAGGCTGCAGCAGGGAGGTGGAGAGCTAATGTGTTATCTGTTCTAATGAATATGAAAATTTATGAAATTATGGAAGAAATAAAAATGGAGGGCTCCCTAATTTGTGAGGACAGATCTACTTTTGCTAATTATACAATCTCTTCCAGAACATGAATGTTTTACTTTAAGGAATTTGTGTGAGAAATAAAGTTCTGTGGTAGTAGTGGTAGGTTTCTACCCATAGTGTGTGGGCTTTCCTACATTTTTCCCTTAATGAATATAATATTTAATCAGGTTAATGCTGATTGTTTTATATCATTGAACTAGTCACTTGACAGTTTAATAAATTGAGAATATTTTAAAGACTTTAGGGAATTTTAGAAATTCTTCCAATCTTCTAGGATTTTTCAAGGAGTGACATCTATCTAAATGATAAATAGTGATAAATAAGAGAACTAGACCCACTAGGCTTCAAGAACCTTCTTTATTAGTTGTTACTTACCTATCAGTGAACTGCTGCAGAAGCAGAGGCCATGATTGTGTTAATCTGCTATCAAATTATGTCATTTATTTTTGTCATAGTTTTCTGTGTAAAAAGCCATTGTAATAAAAACAAATACTCTATTTGGGCAGAATTTTTACAGCTTTGTTTAATCTCTTTATCATGGTCTGTTGATGCATCTTACAAAGCAAGGCATAGAATACCAAAGAAAATGCTAAATTAGAATCTTTTAATAAGTAAATTTTTAAAACTATTGAATTAAACATGGCAACATTTCTTTGCTGGCTGAATTAATGTTCATTCGTGCAGAAAATTTTGAATGTAACATTATTTAAGCAATTTAAAAGTGAATTAAAGATTCATCCATTGTATCAGGTATCTGACTTCAGGCTAACATTTTAATCTCAATCATTGTTACAGTGTTTGCCATTCAAAAACTGAGAGATAAAGATGAAGGTTAATTCATGCAGAAAGAAGACTCAGTTCCTTGTTGATAAGTATGGTTGGCTATCAGGGAACTGCAAAATATGCTAATGGAGTTATTGTTTACTTTAAAGTATTAGGCAAGTTATACTTGCTTGAATAATTGTTTTCAGGTTTTGCACTTCAGAATTATTTTTTGGTTTATATTGTTTTCATAGCTGCTACACTGACCACAGAAGGACTGCGTTTTCCCCCTGTTGTAAGCATACCCGTAGATTTTATCAGCACCTTTTGTAAATATGTTTGCAACAGCAGATTGACAAACTTTTCTGTAGGGACTTGGTTTAAAGAACAATAGCTGTCACTCTTTAGCATTTTTCAATTTGCTAAGTTATTGCCCTTCTCTGACATCTTTTCATCAGAAGACCTGACTCATCTCCAGGTTAAACAGGTGCAATTTCTTCATCTAAGCTACTCTTGAATTTGAACTAGGAACAGTGAGCTCAGATTTGTTAAATAACGTACAGACATGCTGAATCATACTGAGAAATACTCTTAATGGGGTTCTGACTTGGCCAAAACCACTTTTCTTCTTGGAACAGACAAGCAAAGATTGTCCATAACACGACCAGAGCCTTCACCATACATCAGATATGCAAGGAGTCTGTGATTAGGACATATGTATAAAACAGAATGATAGAATATTCAGTATTTAACTTCTCCAGTTGAAGTCCTTACAGTTCAACAGGCTGGAGGCAGAGAACAGGAAACTGTTTCTGCCACAGGGAGTACTTTTCTTAGTGACTGAGATCAGGTGCTGTTTGGAACACAAAGGTTAATTTTACCTTGAAGACATTAATTCTGTAGCTGTGGACACTTATGAAGTCAGGCAGTGAAGTTATTTTTTTTTTTAACTCAGCAATATTTCATAGGAGGTGTTCACTTCTCCCAGGTTTACACTTATTTTAATGCCTTCGCTAAATAAAAGAGTGCGCTTTTTATGTAGCAAATAAATATCATTGGTATAAATTATATACTTTAAAATTAAACCTCACCACATATTTGTGATGATCTTTTCCTTCCCCTTGCCTAATGCAGAAATGAAATAGTCCTTCCCTCATGCAAACACTGGCAAGGCTGTTTCTCTCCTATTCTTCTGTAATTATCAACAGAAAATAACTGGCTGTCCTAAGAACTAAATGTAATGACTACAGTTCTGCTTACTCTAATTAGATGATCAGGTTAGGAAGCCAATTAGTCATTCCCTTCAGTAAAACTACAGGTACATTTCATTGTATCATTGCATACTAATACACAGGTAGGTGTTTTCACCATGCTTTGTCAGATTCTGAACTGTGACATCCTGCTTATAAAAGTCCAAGTGTAGGAATCAGGACCTTTTTGTTTCCTTATGAGGGAGAAAGAGCAAGGATTATGTATTAATCCACAGTATGGGAAACAAGCTGGATAGATATCAGTGAAATCACATGATGCTGATATTTCTTAGCAGAAAAAAACAATCTACAAAATTGAAAACTTCTTCAACTGATCTAATAAAGTCAGGCTGTACTAAGATGTGCAGTAATGACAAAAAAACCCCAGCCAACATCTGATTGTTAAATGGTTATAAATATGCAAAAAACCTTTCTTCAATTTTTTAGTAACGAAAGATTTATTAGAAACTAGCTGAATTTCAGTGGGTGGGGAATTACATGGATCAGAAGCTACAGGGATGATTGATTGTTATCAGTAATTACATGGTCTGACTAAACACTTTCAGATTCCTAGTGTTACTGTTTCTTGTATCCAAGTGATTTTATTTTAATCTCTGTGAACATAAAAGGGAACAAATCTGAAAAATAACAAAAGGACAAAACCTCAAAATCTTCCTCTGAAGGCCCAAGGTTTAATTTTTTGGCAATGTTTGGCTACAGTTTTAGAACACCTTTAATTACTGATTGCTCATAGTACATAGAACCAGCAAGAAAAAAGGTCATTGAAGTTTTCCTACTCTCTCTTGAGTGCTTCTCTATAATAGTCCTAACTTACAGCGGGGAATGTAAACAGTGGTTCTTAATATTTACTGTTCTGATCTTATTCCAAATGAGTTCTGTATGCCTTTTGCATGACTGAAAGTAGACTCACAAATGAAGATGCCTTGTCTTCTATTTTCAGTGCTGGAGAGTCCACGCTACAGGCAATCTCTTCCCAGGGGCTGGAGGGTGAGTATCACTTTTGGGGTAACATCCTTTCCTTCTCCCACATCCCATATAAACCCTGTGTTAAGAATATGGGAGAGAAATGTACAGCTACTGAAAAGAGAGCAAGATGTGCCAGTCATAGCACAGGCAGCCTCAATTTGTGTTCAGAACACAGGAAAGCTCCTGGTCCAAAGAGGCAGAAACCACCAGCAGCAGGACTGGGAACACACCTCTAAGTTACAGGCAGCTCCAGGGGGTTTTGTGTTGGCATTTAATGATACAGCATAAATATTTCAGAGGTACCTAAACATGTGGCAGCAATAAAAGTGATGCATGTTTGGAATAGTTGCTTAAAACATAAAGTGTGTCTAATATAGAAACTAAGTGGAATTTTTTGTTTTGTCAACAGAGAAAATCTAGTAAATTAATAACTTGCACGGGAGTTAGGAGTCAGCACATAGACATACACCGTGAAGACACTCTGCAAATAGCTGTCTTGCCATTGAACTCAAATGTAATTGCATAAATATGTTTAAATTGACACAGAAAGTACTAATTTGAAAAAAAACCAAAAACAAAACCAAACCAATAAAACCAAAATCCCAAACTTGGAAATGAAGAAGATTTAAAACTAAACTGGTTTAAGATGAAACCATTATTAAGGAGGAAGGAAGGAAGGAAGGAAGGAAGGGAGGGGTAGAGGAAGGGAGGGAGGCCTAGAGGGAGGACTAGATTCACTGAATGTCTGGAGAAGAAATGGTGTTAACTTGCCAGCATTGCCTGATCAAGTCCATACCATAAATTACATTTTCTTAGATGAACTAGTGGGGAATGCTAATGGTTTCATATCTCACAGTGTCTTACAACAACTCATACATTAGGTGCTCACCACATCTGCATTGAATTCTATTCTTTTTGAATCTCTCCACCTCTACCCTGCTGAACAATATTTACTGCTATTGTAGGCCTTTAGAAGTTAAGATGTATTTCAAAACAGAATGATTAGTTGGTCTTGGATTTTGGATGGGATTTTTTATTTGTTTGAAAAAATAGAAGAGTGTCTGTTATCAGACTTTCCAGGGTTATCTACAAGGGCTTACTTTCCTATCAATTTGAATCTTAGGCATCTACCATGAATTTAAACTGGTTCTTAAGGAAGATTAAATTCATTTTTATTGCAAATATGGCTCTTTTCCAGCACCTTTGGGAGAAGAAAGGCAGATGAAAAAGAGAACATGATGTGAGCACTGAAAAGACGAGAGGCACACAAAAAATGTGAACTGCTGAATTTACTGTCTAGCTATAATGAGGTATTGCTTAACAATTAAGTTAAATTATGCAGCTGTTTCCTAGTATATTGTGCTAATGCATCTGAGAAATTATAATTTTCTGATTGGAGAATGTTATGTGGAGGAAACTGTAGTGTTCCCCATTCCTGCAAGAGTTCATTTCACGATTAAAAAAGGAAGCCAGTATTTTTGCAGCTGTCAGGAATAGGCAATAAAGGATGACAATTGAAGGGGGGCTGTTAGTCACTGACACAATAAAATAATCCCAAACAAAAGCTGCAGAAGGAGAAAAAGCTTTGAAGGGTAGCAATGACACACAGCCACAGCTTATGGGTTTCTGTGGTGAAGTGACTCTATAGCCCACAACTAGCAGGAACAGGTTTGAAGGTCTCAAAGACAAGTGCTGTCACGTGTCATACTTCAAAGACAAGTGCTCAAAAATTTCAGGGAGCTGTGAAATCAATACTTTAAAGCAAAAATTGCATGTACATCAGGGATAAGCATCAGGTTTAACAAAAAAAAAAAAAAAAGAAGAAAGTAAAAACCCCAAACCCAACTTTGCTAACCAGCAAGTCTTAAAAAAAGCTTTAACTTTTAAAAAATAAATCTGCTTGAATGAGGATTAAATAAAAATTGAAGGTTTGCAAAACTAAATAATATTGAAAATATAAACCAAAAGAAGTACACTGGCACTTCAAATTTTGCATGTGGAATATGCTTATGGGAAAAATGGCTACATAAAGCAGAGAAGAAATTAGGTATGTTAATTGGAGCAGGTGGCTTATTTTATATTATTTAATTTTTGACCAGTTTGAGTTTTTGAGACTATTTAAAATTCCAGCCTAACAAATTCATAAATGATTCTGTATTACCCATTGTTTAAACTTATTTATGCAAAAAAAAAATCACAAACCCAAAATCCCTAAATGAAAACACATAATAGCTTTTGAGTAAAAATGAAAGGTTTTCAATTAGCATCCATACTTCATATCATCCTTTTATTCTGATCATTTGTTTTGCATGATTCTTTTGTTTTAGTCAGCATTTCCTTTTAAAAAAAGGTTGAATTGGGGGAAAATATCATTTTATTTCATATTTTATGAGTCTGAATAACACAAAATGAGGTTGTGCCATGTTTCATGACCATGAATATTTAAACATTTTCTATAAATACATTTACTTACTTTTGTTTTAATCTTGTGAAAAAGCACTGCCTGGAAATGATAATGAAGAAGCCTAAGAAAATACCATTTTGAATAATTCTTGCTTTTGCTTTTACCAGTTTTTCCATAAAGGCAAAACAGATTTGGCCTTTTAATTTCCTTGAGTGATCTAATTCTTTAAGTTACTTCTGCAGTTGTTTTTTATATTGGGTTACAGTATTATTCTTCTGGAAAAGTCTATGATCAAGTGAGTTTCAAGATTTTTTTCAATCTTGTCCACTATTTATCTAAGCTGAAGTTCCCCTAGGCAGAGAGAAAGACTCTGATGAAAGAATTATTTCTGGTTCCTAATTTCTCATGGAGTGATTACTGAGTTTTTACCCATAGGACAAAATAGTAATTTTTTTTTTTCTGTTTGGAAAGGGTGAAAACTTGGGAAATCCAACAGAGTAGTAAAATTATTCTTCAAAAACAAACTTGAAGAGAGTTAAAAAGAATTGAAATCTTTAAAACAGAACCCAGGAGTCCATGCTCATTTAACAGGTTAATTTGGTAGCTGGGTTGCGTCAGTTGATAACGTGCACTTCTGCTCACCCACCTCACCCTTGCTCTGTGGTGCTCCCTGATATCTGTTCTTGTCCCTTATGAAGTAATTGATGATTTTTAAGATGCTCAGCTGTTATGGACCCTTTCTTCTGTATGTTTTTTACAGAGAGGGTGGTCAGGCATTGGAATGGGCTGCCCTGGAAAGTGGTGGATTCCCTGTCCCTGGAGGTTTTTAAGATGAGACTGGATGTGGCATGAGTGCCATGGTCTCGTAACCACGGCGGTGTTGGATCAAGGGTTGGACTTGATGATCTCAGAGGTCCCTTCCAACCCAGCTGACTCTGTGATTCTGTGATTCTACCTGTTTTGTGTTTATGAAGAGCCATGGCTTTCTACCTGTCTGAGGCAAGACCTGAGTAAGGTACCTTTTATGCAATGGAGAAAAAAAATACTTGTTCTGCTCTGAACCATTCACTGTACTTCCTTGGCAGAGGACCATAGGCCATTCTGAAGATTAACCCTCCTCCAGAGATTTTCTGTTCCAGCTACAGCTTGTCTTTTTCTCCCTGAAAGCTAAGGAACAGTGTGGAAGGTAGTGGATTGTAGATTTAACCTTGAGCACCAAAACTGTGACACAATGTAAAGCATTCCTTTTGGATGTGTCTGTTTACTTTGTATGTTTTCTGAACTGTCATTCATTCTGTGCACTTTTTCATGAGCACACAAGCTAGCTTTGTTCTTTTGTTCATGTCCACTTGTGCCTGCAGCACAGAGGGAAGAGCCTTGGGCTTTGCAAGAGCATGCACTGGGCAAACTGGGAAGAGCTGAGGGCAAATATACTAAATAAAGCCAGGTACTGTTGCTCTTGGGCCTAGTATGGGAAATCAAACTGAAAAAAGATCAGGATGGGAAAAGAAATCAGCTATTTCTATAGGAGCAAACCAGGAAAATATTAAATTAGTGTGCAATTCTGAAGTACTTTTTCTTGTCAATTTTTTTTTTCTCTCTTCTATTAAACAGGGACTTTGGACTTAATTTGGTGAGAATATCCTTAGTATGGGGATGCCAAATTAGATAAGGAAATAAACCCCCACCTACACTGCTACAGCTCTTATGCTTCCAGTGACAACATGTTTTATGTGCTTGCTTCTGAGCAGCATTCAGACCCTTGCCTGTACGTTAAACTCTCCTGACTTTAGCTGCCTGTCTGCTATAAAGAACATCTTTTGTCTGTGAGGGTGTCGCCTCTGTGAAGCCAGGTCCTTCAAAATGATGGATTTAAATAAAATGAATAATTACATGAGGTGCATTTGACTGTAGAAAGGGATCAGAAAAACACTGTTATCACTGCATTGCTATGTCCATAAATACAGTGGTAACAGTATGTATATGACCACATATATGTGACATATGGTGTCTCTGGTATAAATGTACCTTTTTGTTTAGATCTGGGAATGGATAAAAATGTCTATTGTGTGTTCATAACCGCTTTCTAAAAGTAATGCAGTTTGTGTGTTGATATTATGAAAAGTATAAATTAAAGAAACTATTTATGTGATAAGTTCAATTCCGAGTCTTATAAATATTGTAATATTTTACAAATCACTTATACTGTGGCCTTATAATAGCCACGTACAATTTACGCTTCTTAAAATGGGAGGTTACTACAAAAGTTGTTGCAGACTCTTAACTAGTGACATAAATATTCCACTGTAATCCATACAGCATGAAATCTTTCACTGCCTCTCCCTTGAAGGTATATTATTCAATTTTCATAGTTATAGCACAGTGATAAATTAGAGCTTAATGTCGTTGTGCCACTAAGCTAACCAAGATTTTTATAAGCAACTGTCCAAATGGTAAAAATACAGAAAGTAGCCACACTAGTGCACAGCACAATTTTTTGTTTGTTTGCTTCCCAGAAGCATGAAAACGTTTGACCCTTTCTTCTAGTAAATCACTGAGGGCAGGGGAGAATATATATTGACTCCTTTCGTTCCTGGATTACTGTGGCTGTTTCTCTTTTTTCAAGCAGACCAATAAAAGTTTTTATACTTTTTACAGTTTATCAGCCTACATCATCTGAGTTTCTCAAGCAGTACTTGTGGAAATTACCTGTGCCTTAGGCCAGAGGGCTCTGTACAGTTTTACAGTGAGCACAATGTTCTAAGGAAACTCACAATACATAACAGCTTTTTGACAGAGATTAGTGTATAAGTGATATTGTGCCATAATCTAGAAGACAAAGCACTTGAAATAGGTTTCATTTTAAGTGAAGTAGGCAAAGTATCAACCTGAGAAACCGTGATGTTAGTAGCAAGGATAAAATCAACATTAAAAAAAAGAGACTGTACCTCTGTACCTGAAAGACATATGTAGATATAACAGACTTTCAGTACTTACTGTATGTATAGAGGTAGACCAAATTTAGCTATTTTTTTGTGAAGGACTAATTAATTTTATTAGAGAGTAAGTAAATTCAGCTGCGAATCCTAGAGAATCTAATGACTTCCAGAGATTCAGAATGAATTCAGCAATAAAAGCTAATTAGAAGGGAAATGGATGCCTAAAATATCCCTGGTGTGCATAAAGAAAGAGTATAAAGACCATTAATTGAAATTAAAATTTAACAGTAGCCTAATGCTGCATGACATAAAATTCCATCTGTTGTGCAGAGCCACTAAACAAAGATACATGGGGAACAGTGATGGGTGTCTCAGCTCTGTTTTTTAATGTCAAACCACTCCACACAATGAGAAGTCTGACGTTCAGAAGAGTCAGGTTAGGGCGTGATGACTCCTGTAGCTACTGAATTAGAGAGGAAAAACTGAAAGTGATGTTGCACTAGTGAGACATTTGATTTTTAGTGAAGTAGGTGGGGTTTCTTTCTGCTTGTTTTATCCTCACAAGTGTAGAACAGGCACCCATGCATTTTAGACATATAGGCTGTCCAAGTCTTAGGGACACCCATGTGGTGCAGGCACGGAAGCAGCAACAAAGTCAGTGTTCTTTCTTGAAGCATCTCATCTGAAATGCCAGGGAAGTTTCTGTAGAGCACATGTAAGGAAGTAAATGAGAGCTTTGAATAATTTATCCTGGAATGTCTGACTTCTCCTGCTGTTCACAAAATGTCTGGGAATGTCTTTTTTGTTGTTTGGTTTTTAAAGACTGATTAACAGTGATTGCTGTAACCAGTTTCAGTGCACACATCTCTGGCACAAATTTCCCCGAAACAATTTTCAAAATGTGGACTGATCTATTGATGAAAGGTAGTTATGTGGTGTTTGCATTTCCATATTAGATGATCACAGC